CAAGGAGGGCATAGAATGCCTGGATTGATTACGTACAATGTAGATGAGAGGAATTAACCGAAAACAGAATGAAGGTCAAATATGATAGTGGGACAGGAAGAAAGTAAAAGGAAATAGAGCTAAAACTAGGAGGCAAAGGACATTTATAGAGGTATAAACATAGGCATGTACATATGTAAACATATTAATATGTAACAATAGAAATATAGGTCTGAATACACATATTTATATGTTAGGTGTTAAGGCAGCCGACGGACGTTGAGCCTCTACTCAAGTCCTCCCTCAATGCAAGATCACTTTGTTTTAATGACCTGGCATTCTGTGATGCTCACCTTCCTGGCGTGATTGCTGAAGACAAAATGGGTGCATAAGCTAATGTGGTGAAGAAAGAATAGAAGGTATAGCATCTTGGGTCTTAAAGGCTTGAAGGTAAACAAGCAGCCATCTAGCAGGGAAGCAAAAAAGCCCACATGGAAGAAGTGCACCAGCCTGTGTGATCACAAGGTGCCGACGGGGTCAGGAATCAGGCATCGGAAGACTCAAAACAAACAACCATTTTGATGTGAACGCTGGTCCTGGTCGGATTGGAGACCCAAAGCCCATCTGTAAACAATTGGACATCATCTCACAGAAGGATCACAAGAAAGGGATAAACCACCCGGAGTACAATGTAGCACCGACAGAACACACATCATTTCTCTGGTTCTGTACTGCTCCCTTCCTTTCACTATTGTGACCCCAGTTCGAAGAGCTCTCCACACATGGAATCCAGGACAGATGAACCCCTCAGGAACAGTAAGCGATACCATGAGAGTAGCGGGGAAGGTAGGGGAAGAAAGGGGAAACCGATCACAGTGATCAGCTATAACCAACCCCCCACCCCTCAGGGGGATGAACAACAGAAATGTGGGTAAAGGGAAACAGTGGACAGTGTAAGATAAGAAAATAAAATGAATGTATAAATTATCAAGGGTTTACAAGGGAGGGGGTGGGAATTGCTTATACCAAGGGCTGAAGTAGAAAAAATGTTTTGAAAATGATGATGGCAACATGCACAAATCTGATTGATAAAATTGATGTATGAATTGTTGTAAGAGCCCCCAATAAAATGATTTATTAATTTAAAACGTTGATGGCAACATATGTACAAGTGTGCTTAATACAAATGAATGATGGATTGGTAATAAGATATTTAAGAGCCCCCCAATAAAATGATTAATTTTAAAAAATAATTTAAAATTTTTTTAAATAAGAAGATAATATATAACACCTGGAGGAAACAGCCCAGACAGAACTCTTTATGTAGATGATAGTATAGTCATACCGTGGAATACAATTTCACAGTTTAAAACATTGAAATATATCAATAGGTACTTATAGAAAGTCTTTTATGATGTATTTTCAAGTGAATATAGTTGTGCAAAGGTGGGTATAATTGCAATAAAAACAACAATGCATTTACAGATGTACCTGAGTAAGTAAAAAAAGTCTTGTTACGAGGACTTCCATTCACACATGGCACAGGTTTATCCAGAGTGATTGATCACGTATGTCTGTGATCAGTGGGCGACTGTAGACAAGAGCTCTCAGTGAAACTCTGTCATAGTCTCTTCATGAGCCTTCGCTAAAAACCTCTCTTATGCAAACTGCCGTCCAAGGTGATCACTGGGCTAGTTCTTCCGCAGGTTGTGGCAGCTGTCTGGGGGACTCCACGGGGGTCATTTTGCTATGAAGAAATTTTAAGAAAATTGAAAATTTCACCACGGAATGTTCTTCCATCTGAGGACACACCTGCGCATTCATTATCTGAGGGTAGCAAGGGCTGCCAGAGGATATGTATTTATAGGTTTAAAATATGTATTCACCCCTACACCAGCTACCTCCATCCTAGCTCTTGACCCTCCAGACTTCGTTTTGTTCCCCAAACTCAGAATTTTTAAAGGGTATTGTTTTGACGTGTAAATTAAAAAGCATTCTCCACGGGAGGGCTAGAGACGTAGAAACACTGCCTCCAGAAGCCCACAGACTGAGAGAGAGGCTGTGTTGAGAAACAATAATGTCACATTTTGATAATAAAAATTTCTATAATTTTGTAGCAGTACTTTTCTATTTACCCTAAAATATCGAAATGACATCTTCTCTCTCTAACTATAGCATGTTTTCTTAAATGTGTATGAATTTGCTTATAGGTATATGTACAAAAGGGTTTCCAAAAGTTGTGGGGAAATTCCGTTACCTTTGAATTCCATTTTTTCCACAAAATAAAAAAATTTTGCTGTGAATTTGGTGAAGGTTTGGAGAGCAAACCCTCAGTACATTCAGCGATTCATACGCACTGGTCCATCCCATTCATTGCAGTGGCATGAATGTAGCACCACTCACATCCCATCTCCTGCTCCTGTGTCCTACCACCACTCCCCCTTCTCTCCCAACCTCTCTGGACTTTGTGCTTGGGGACATGCTGCCCCCTTCACCTCAAATGGTTGTTTATTCTGAGATGTGCGTATCACACTGGTGTTACCATTCCCCTTTGAGGCCCGTTGTTTGCCTGAGAAAATGAGCCATAGAAGTGATTCAGTTCTAGACCTGAAGGGCCATGGTCTCGGAGGTTCCCCAACTCTCTCTTTGACCAGTCATTGTGGTCTTCCTTAGGGCTTTGTTTTTTCAAACTCTTTATAGGACCTTCTAATGTCATCCCTTTCAGAGCTGGTGGGGCATCATCTAGTTCTGGTGCCAGCGCCATTCCACACACTTTGGGAAGGAAGCCCTCTCACTTATGGTGTAGATAGATACCATAAAGCTCAAAATTAAATTGTGTACCATGTATACTCGTGTATAAGCTGAGTTTTTCAGCACATTCTCCCCGCCCCCCTTTTTTAAATTTTTATTTGGGGCTCGTACAGCTCCTACCACAATCCATATATATATATATATACATCCATTGTGTCAACCAAATTTGTAGTTTGTTGCCATCATAATTCTCAAAAACATTTGCTTTCTGCTTGAGCCTTTGGTATAAGCACCTAATTTTTCCCCTCCCTCCCCGCTCCCCCCTCCCTCATGAACCCTTGATAATTTGTAAATTATTATTATTTTGTCATATCTTACACTATCCAATGTCTCCCTTCACCCACTTTTCTCTTGTCCATCCCCCAGGGAGGAAGTTAAATGTAGATCCTGTAATTAGTTCTCCCTCTCCACCGCACCCTCTCGGTATCGCCACTCTCACCACTGGTCCTGAAGGGATCATCGATCCTGGATTCCCTGTGTTTCCAGTTCCTATCTGTACCAGTACATCCTCTGGTGGTCTACCCTGATTTGTAAGGCAGAATTGGGATCATGATAGGTGGGGGGGCTGTTAGGAAGCATTTAGGGGCTGGGCTAGAGGATGGTTGTATATTTCATCATTTCACATTTTTTATGCAGTTTTTGTGGTAAAATTAGGTGCCTCAGCTGATAATCGGGTCAGCTTATAGTCGAGTATGTACGGTAATTGAACTTTTCAGATAGCTAATGTATGTTTTCATCATAAATAAGCAAAATAACAAGTGTTACGCATTTGTGGTGCAAATTTGTATACAGTATGATGTGTAACTCGTCTTTGTGAACATCAAACCTAGTGCCTCTTTATAATTATTTCTTCAATCTAATTTCTCCAAGTTGTTTTAGAAATAAATCAGATCATAAAAAATGATACTAATAGCAATAGCAGCTAACAGCAATCCTTGAAGCTTAATTTATTAAGCTCTATACCAAGTGTGACCCATATATTGTCTTCAGTCTCATTCAATGAGGCACTGTTACTCTGCCGGTTTTACAGTGAGGAGGCTGAGGTATAGGAAGTTACATCACCACTGTCTGGCAGGTAAATTGTGGTGGCATTATAATTTGAAGGCAACCACTTAAGTATAATCTTTCAAAGTTACCCATACCCATCTAGACTTAATAAAATGCATGTGCTAAGCTGAGGAAAGAGCAGAAGGATTTTCACACTGTGTGTACGTGTCGTTGGAACGCTGTCTGGGCTCCCGTTGCTAGTTGCTGCAGTGATCGTCTAGTAAAGTGTTCACTCCAGATGCTACTTAGGTGTGAAATAATGCATGACTTCCATTTTACTTGCTTATTCCCTAGGGGTCTGAGAGGTTTCTACTGAACACTGTTCACAGTATACCCCTAGGATATGTGGATGGGTTTTATAGAATTGGTTCAAAATCTGTGTAAACGTTTTGAGGACACATATAATTTTCTGGGTAGAGGTGCTAATGCATTTAATAAGATTTTTTTAAAGGTTCTATTTACTCATAAAACCCAAACCCATAGGCACTGAGTCAACTCACCAGGACCCTGTCACACAAAGTAGAACCCTCTCTCAGGGTTTGCAAGGTGGTCTTCTTCACAGAAGCAGACTGTCAGGGGCCCACCTGGTAAGCAGTCCAGTGCTTCACCCGCTAAGCCACTCGGTTCCCTGATTACTCAGAAAAGACCAAGAATACTCATTACTTCATCTTAATTTGTTCTGTAGGTACTAGTTTTTAGAAAACATTTGATGAGTTTATTATCTTTAAGCATATAAACTCTTTCAAAAGCAAAATGTACATATGATGGAAAGAAAATACATATGTATGCTAAGCAAGGGAATTTCTTGTCACTGACTGGCTATTATCGTGTACAATATATAAAAGAAGTCAACTTGTTAATTTCCAAGGCCCTTTCCTTGGAGTCTTAGTGTTTGGAGAAATGTAATTGTCATTTTCCCACAGTGATAACAAATTGTGAGGTGTTATTACAAATATGAGCCAAACAGAAAAGTTGAGGGTAGCTAAGAGTACCACTATTAGTATTCAATAAATGTTCACAATTTCAAGTGCTTCCTTTATCAAATTTAAATATACCTTCTAATTTCGGGTGATTTGTAATATCTTTTAAAGCAGCTATTGTTACTAACAAACTTTATTATTTTAAGTTACATATGTTAACAACTCTTTTGGTTTATTTATTAGGGAAGTTTGGTTGGCTTAGTGGATTATCCAGATGATGAAGAGGAAGATGAAGAAGAAGAAACATCTCCCAGGAAAAGACCTCGTCTTGGCTCATAAAATCTTGGCTTGGGGACCCTCAACATGTGGTCTTACTGAAATGCTGCAGCTGTTCACTGAGCTGAGACCCTGAATCAGAAAGCTTTCTCACTGGAACTGATAAACCTACAAGGAGTAGCAAACGACACTCCGTGTATCAGCTCAGAGTTTAGTTCTGTATCAAACCAGGCTTTCCAGGAACTTGATTGCTTGCTAGTAATTCGGAGGGGTTTGCCTTTCCAGCTGTCCAGAAGACAGGGGGAAAGTTAGTAACCAGAACCTGAGAGGGCTTCTAAGCAGGATGGCTCGGGTTTGGGGGAGGGAAAGGTTGAGAGAACATTCTGAATGCAGGGTTGCTCAAGGGGCATCCAATCCAGAAACCGTTGTAAACCCAATAACATTACTTGTATAATGGTGCTGGCCGTGTTCTTTCAAATCAGTTGCCTCTTTTTAAAAGAAATATTTATGGAAAAGAAGTTCAACGATCATCAAAAAATGACATGAAGCTATTGGGACCATTACGTCACAGATTTGACTGAAATTCAACCGTAGAGGTATTTGGAGAGAAGTCTACCCTCTATGACAGTGTTTGTGGTTTTATGCACCAGAAAGGCTCAGTGTGCATTTTGGTGAAAACGAGCTAGCTGGATTCAAAACAGTGTTCTGTTGTGTAAGCTTCAAATCCGCACTGTCAGAGGTAACAGATGCCAAGAAACGGTAGTGTTCCAAACAGCATTTCCCTAGAATCCCAGGTAGTGGGTCAAGCAGTGTGTTTCTAACTGCTGACTACCAGTACCAGAGTCTGTGGAAGAGACTTTGAAGCCATTTTCTGCTTTGTTAGTAAAACTCTCGAGCTGCCAGGCAAATTTTAAAGTGTAATTTATCAAGACTAACACACAAAGATGCATACTGGATCAAGTGGCATTAAATATCTAGAAGCCATTTGGACCAAGAAGTTGCTGAAGTGTCGTCGGCATGTGTCGCGTGGAGTTTCCCATAAACAAGCAGGTGTGATGGGAAAGCTGGTTAGGATGCGGGAAAGCACATTCCATACATACGTGACTTTCAAATACTAAAATTGAGGCAAACAGTTGAGAGGTTTTATTTTTAGAACAGCGAAGCGAGTTAACTGTAAATATTTTAATGTTAGTTTGCTCACCTATGATCTGAGATCATGCTGAAGTGAGAAAATATCCCCAAACTACAGTCTAATACATTGGGAAGAAAAAAAGGAGCTACAAACAGCGATTCTAGCCACAGTCTTTCGATCACCCTTGTGATGTGTTAGGGTTCCATTTTCCTGGACTAGCTGGAACTACAGCAGTGTCCTCTGTTCTGGAGATTCTGTCGTTAATCGTAACGTTGCTGTTGTTTGGAAAAGATGGGCTGTCTGTGTAGATATGAAGTATAGTTTTTCCATAAAACAGATGTTTATTTTGTATTAAAAATACCACTGTACTTGTTTTACACCATTTGTATACATGTGGTGATATTAATGCTGAACTGTAAAATTCAGGAATTAAAATGTGACCCTGTAATTCCATAATTGTTGCTTTTGTTTATTGTAAATATAAGAACTACATTTTGAGATCTGCCCGTTTCACATGATCTTTTGAAAGCCCATAAACATATCTATGGATGCTGATTATGAACCACTAGGTCACACACCAAACAGTGAATGCCCACCCACCCCCACCCCCACCTGGCGCATGCGACCTCACGGGCTGCTTGTAGCAGGTGGGCCGTGGGCAGAAATCACCTCGGCCTGCGCGTGTCACAGACTGCGGCTGTGTTCCTCACGGCTGGACCTTCCGCTTCAGAAGGCCCCGAGATTGGTCAATGCGTGGGTACTTTTCTCTCAAGTCTTACCACAAGCCCCCTCTCTCTCCTAAGCCCTGTTTTCTTGTCATTTCAGAAACCCAGGTCCAAAATGTTCGTCCTTTACTACTCTAGACTTTTCCTGAGGAACTTCCTGCTGCGATGGGAAGTGTCTGTCTTTCAGGTTCTTCAGTCTCCTTTCTGAAGAACTGCCATAAATCTGCAGCAGTTCAATCGCATCATAGGAGCCTTTTCTTGGGGCTGAAATGTGTTTCTGAAATGGCAGGAGAACCATGCACGTGGTACACAAGTGTGCTTGCCCATCAGATGACTTAAAATCGCCCTTGAAAGGCCACCTCTGAAGATCCCACACATTAGCTGCTTTCAAATGACAACCCTCAGGCCGCTCTGAGGTTTTCCATCTTTCCATCGTCACTCAGCGGAGTGAGACATAGGTGACACTCCTATTGCCTGAGGTCCTTTTAAAGTAGATCTGTAAACTACCCAATATAAAGACATAAGTTACATGAACCATGTGTTTTAATCACAAGTATTTTCACTGTCCAGTGATTTCAAAGTAACAAATTTGTACCGGTTTTTCTGCAGGTTGACAGTTGGGAGGTGAAGTGACCAACTGTTGAGACTAATTTGGGTGTCCGTTAAAAATAAAAGCCATTGTAGATTTCAGGAGAGAAAATGGGGTTTGAAGGTAAGCCCCTCCAGAGTCACCTGTACCTGGAAACTGCATGTGGGTGGTCGGCACAGCACTGGGAAGTCTGGGAAGGGAAAGGTCTCCCGGCCATGAGTTCTCTTTGTGCAGACAGACTACGGAAAACTGTCTTGAAACCTCTTTAACATACAAGACCATGGGCGCCCCAGAGCCATCTCCATTGTTTGCTTTAAAAGGAAACTTGTGATGTTCCTTTTCAGTGACAGTATTGTGTCCTCCCTTTATTGAAAAAAAACTCAGATCCTTACACTCCCTGCAAGGCCCTGCATAATCAGCACCCTGTCTGGCTTGTTTTGTCTCTGGCCTCTGATCTCTCATTCTGCATATGCACCAGCCTTGGTGTGGCATGGCCTGTCTCTGCTACAGGGCCTGAGCCAGGCCCTTCCCTCCCTGGAGGTAGCCTTCCAGAGTGCTTGAGCACTTTTTCAAGGAGGTTGGTACTGAGCACAAAGCATGGTGTGCAGTAAGTTGTAACCAAATATGAATGACTAAATGTGCTGTCAGCTAGTTAGTGTACCCTCTACAGGAGACAACGGGCTCAGGGTTTGCATTAGACTTGCCAGGTAAAGCACGGTGGTTAGGGACTTGGCTGAGAGTTTAAAGGTTGGATGTGTGAACCCACCAGCTGTTCAGCAGGAAAGAAATGGGGCAGACTTTCCGGAAAGACTGGAAACTGCAGGGCAACTCTACTTGGTCCTTGGGGCTCTCTATAAGTCAGAGTCAACTTGACAGCAACAGGTGGTTAGTTGCCCATACAAGTAGCTGTCACCACTGCCACCCTGCATCTCCCATGTGTAAACTGGCATTTAAAATCTCAAGGCTTTAGAACAGGCTCAGCTTAAGGATTAAATAATTTATTTTTAAGAAAATCAATTGATTTTGCTGAATTAACAAAATCATTTATTAATAACTTCTTCTTTAAGCTTCTCTGCAAGCAGTCTCCTCTTAAGTAATGTTTGCTTCTCCTCTGCTGTCATTTCTGGTTTCTCTGTCATTTCCTTAAATGAAAAAATAGCTTTAGGATAAGGTGAACTCACCTGTGAACATTCCCAGTCTCTTGTCTCAAATGAATACGGATGCTATTTTCTTTAAGAAGACATGCCAGATGTAGAGTAGGTTCTCTATATTTCTTGGGATGTTTTGAGGAAGCCTCTTGGGGGAAGTGGCTGGGGTATTGATCCTGCCCAACGGTTAAAAAAAACAACCTCTAGCCCTTCAAAAGGCCCAGGGAGACCGCTGGCCGTAAAGCACTCAGAGCGGGCGGGGCGACGAGCGAAACGAGTGTATCATGAAACTGCTGTCGTGTCTGCCTCACACTCCCGACCACAAGTGTCTTACTGCCTATAAGAGACAGGCAGCTGTCGGTACCAGCAGGATGGTTTTGAAGGGGAGGGGCAGCACAACGTGGTGATTATGAGGTTTGTAAGTTTGACACGCAGGGCGAGCATACCTCGACTTCCCCAGTAGGTTTTCCTGTTTGCTCAGGATTTTGTATCTGCTTAGTCCTCTGGTCCTTTTTCATGGACATTAACTTGTCTCTCTTCTGCTTAAGATAGTGTTCTCGTTGCCGCAGCTCTTCTGTCCCCAGTGCTGATAAATTCTGGATCAGGAAGAGGAGGAGAGGTCTACATTCAAGTCTACGTACAGAGCAGCACAGCCAGCATCTGACTGGGCTCAGTTAGAAATCCGAGTTCAGGTCAGTAAATCGGCTCTGGTGTTCACACTGCCCGGCCCCAGAACTCGTCCTTGGGTCTTACTTACTGCTATGGGCCCTTCCATGCTCGGGTATTCTGAGCCCGCTGTCTTCAGACCTTTGGGTGGGAGGAAGGATGTTTCAGGCAATGTTTCCAGCTTTCTTGCCAGGGGTTGTACAGACTGATTAGCAAAATGTACTTTAACTTCTGGCAGTAATAAGACAATGAGACCAATTAGACAGTGTAAGCATGTTAAATGCTCTGCTAGGCTCACCAGGCTGAGCTGATGTTCCCCTCTAGGATGACAGACATCATCCCAGTTAGTCAGCTCGCCCTCACTGGCCCAGGCACCCAGGGGAGAAGGATAAACACAGTCTGCCCTCAAGGAGCGTGCGCACCCCAACTACTTCTAAGTGGCTTTGTTTCGTATGACTCATGATCAGTCATAAGGCACTATCCGCAGGTGAGACAATGAGAACCACACCGGGTGTAATGAGGTGCCACCCAAACCAAGTAATCCCGGAGTCCTGGCTGTAATGGGATCGGTTCCGAAACGCTTGTCCGTGAAAACAGTAAGTGACCCTATATTTGCAAAACCATGTAAAAACTACAATTTTCTGTGCTGAAAGATTAAGTGCTTTGCGATCTGTTTGTGTGCGTGGTTACGTGCTGCAGACTCGGGACCCCCCTCCCTCCCAGAGCTCAGTACTTCCCAGCAACGCGGTGACTCGCCAGCCAACAGGACAAGAGCAGAATTGCCCCATGGGTTTCCGAGACTTAACCTGACAGGCGCAGAAAGCCTCGTCTTTCTCCTGCTATGCATGAGAGGAGGAGAAGTGGAGATTAATATCTGAATTACTCCTCTGAAGCATGCTTCTCATGATTTGATAGTGTAGTTCCGTTTTTCAAAGATAAAACTTTTTCATTCCAAGTACATAAGCTACCAAAGAAAGCTGAATGAGACGAGCAAAGACCTTCAACAAAAGGATGCCAGCACCTGAGCGCATGGAGGGAGCACTTGGTGCGCGTGCCTCTCTCCAAGCCTGCCCCAGCCTCCTGCCCCAGTGTGCCGGCTCAGGAAGGAAAAGATGGGGCCAGGCACTGCAGAATTCCCTTACGCAGAAAGGCCAGCTTGACCAAGTCGGTCATCCTGACAGAACGGAAAACCCCGGGTTCCCGGTGTGCCTGACTCCGAGGTGGGGACTGAGCCCCAATAGGTAGCCTCGAGGTGGAGAAAGGGCGGGGGCTCTGCGTAGCTCTCGCCCTTAGTCTGTTTGAGAGATAGTACTCAAATGCAGACCTAGAGAGGCCGGTACCTGAAGCCAAAACAGTTGGCCACGCTCATCTCTAGAGGGAGAAGCTGCTTGAGGAAGCCAGTGATGGGAAAGAAAGGGGCGCCCGGCAGCATCAAGGAGAGTGTGGTGGGGGAGGGGAACTAAAATGTCTCCACTGCAGAATGTAATCACCTAATGCACAGTAACTAAAATCATTGCCCTGGAAAAGTGGGACTACATCCTCTCGCTCAACTGCCACCCCCTGTGGCTAAGTTCACAGAGGACTCCACGGACTGCGACAGAGCAGCATGGTGCCCGTGTGCAGCACGGCAGCCCTCTCGGGAGTTTGGAAGGTTGAAAGAGTATGTATGTGCAAGTCACACCAGTGTGTATGTTCAGGAAGGCCGCCATTTAACTGCACGTAGAACCTTCTGGGGGTTTTGTACATCTTATCGCTAGTCGGACATTACCACACACAGGGTTGCAGCACATAATTTACTGATGTTTGCGTGTAATATTTCCAACAAAGATTATTACACGCAAAGAAAGATTTATAAAGATACTAATTGCCAAAGACAACAATAATGAAAACTGAAAAAGCAAAACGAGGTTGTCAACTTACATCAGAACGGACATACCTGTCCCATCATAAGTCGGGGACTGTTTGGGAAGGTTCGGCACACGGCACCCTTACCTGCGGGGGGCGGCGCAAAGTGCTCACCGTCCCCTTGCGGATTATTCAGCTTGGTAGCATCGCTAACCTGCACTGGCAGCTCTTCTGTCTTGGCCTCTGATAACTTCAGAATACAGAATAAAAAATGTTTTAGATTATTTTCAATTAATTCACTACTTAAATGAACCAGAGCTATTAGTTTAAGAAATCAACAACAAACCCACCTACCTAATGAAAACATAAGCAAAAGGTTCTATTTTTCCAGTTTTTAAGCTGTTGCTGCGAATACATCTCCTGTTTATGAGGCAGGTGAACACGTACGTCAACCTCATAGTGCCAGGGTCACTATTACAGTGAGCTCTCTAGACTTGGCTGCAACTGGCTTCACACCCAGGCTTCATCCGTACTGGGCCTGGGACCTTGCCCTTGACGCTGGGGGAAAGGCAGCTGCTGGATGGGCTGGTGCTTTCCCACTTACTCAGAACACACTGCTCTGGAGTACCTGAAGCTGGCACTACTGATTTCTACCTTTTACTAAAGCGGAGCAGTGCGCTGAAACCAAAGAAATCACTTACATGACGGAAAGAACAAAGGAAGTAGAAGCCCATGTTCACACAGTTACTGGGCAATTTAGGGTATCTTAAAGCATTGAAGTTATTATTGGCGTGTGAAAAATATAACACAAAGTCGGGGGGGGGGGGAAACACCTAAAAAACAATCGTATGCTCTTATTATGCAGGAAGCCTGCTGCCCTACCTGCTGCATGTAGTTTCTTTGTAGAGCAGACACAACTGCTGTCTTCGCAGAGCACTTTTAAGCAGGTTTCTGTTCTAATATTGAAAATCCTTAATAACAGCTAAGAACCTGTTTCTACTTGCTAAAGAGAGAGCTACTCTTAGTCCTAAAATGTCTCTCCAGCTCTGCCCTAGGTACCTTGGAGTAAAATAAGTTTTTCAAGGAGGCTAATGGTGAAAAAATTACACACATCATAATGAGTGAGGTGGTAATGAGGGAAATTACTGTCCAGTGACTGAGAAAGCAGTGCCCTTAGATTCCCTTCCCACTGGGAGACTGAGAAAACGTGGGGAAAGCGGTAGTTAGCAAGGCAGAGAGGAAGCAATAAATACTAGAGATCCCTCAGGAACTGGAATCCGAGCGGGTACTTGCAACAGAAAACCAGCAAGTGTGTGGGCCCTGACATGAGTGACAGGTACGGTGCGGCGCTGCCCGCAGGGCACCTCTTCCGCTGTTTCAGAACAGGACGGAAGCCCAGGAGAGTGGGGGAGTGAAATATTTTTGTTCCTATTCTTTTGCTCATAAAATGAATTTTTATAAAAGCTACTTTCCCCAAAATATGAGTGGGATTAGAGTTTAGAATTAAAAATGTTGGTCTCATAATTTAAGCAGCAGGCTGCTGAGTGAGCTAGCCCCTCTAAGGTCTGGTCTGGCTATAAGGAAACCCTTCCTACATAGAAATGGAGCAAACATTTAGACTTGCCCAGAAAACATGCAAACTGAGGAACTGTATATTCCTAGGACAACATAAACATGAACAGCTAACAAGAGGCATAAGCTCAGAAAGAGGCAGCGACAGTGAGGTACGTTAATGTGTGCGCAGCACCTGCTTCTTCCTCTTCCTTTCTTCCTCTTGGTCATATTCCTCTTTGGATTTTCTGAAATACAGGACAAATACAGTAGAAAAGTAGGTTTTCTTTCTCAAAGAACAGCTATTCAACCAGTCCACATGCAGGGGACACGGATACAGCGAAGGAGAAGAATCAGGCCTTGCGGGAGCGCGGCTTTAGAGCAAAGCCCAACTGTTCTCCATCTCTGGGGAAGTTGATCATAGGCACACATGAGGAGGTTTCAAAATTTTGTGGAAAGAATTCCATTATCTTTCCATTTTTCTATGAACTTTTTGAAGCCTCCTCACACACCACAATGTAGTTGGTAACAACATAAAACCTAGGTTTATCAAATCATTTCTTCAAGAAATGTGAATAATCCTTAGCTGAAGAGATCAACACATTTGCAATTTAAACTTGAATGAGGAGTGCCATTAAGGCAGCCTTTGAGCTCCCTCCGTACAGAGAGCAGCTGTACCTCTCTAGACCCGGCCTGCTTCTCCCCCTCCCCGCTCTCTAACCCCTTCTCCGCTGGCATATGCGCCATCATGAAGCCCCTGATGTGCTACCACACTTTTAAAAACTGCTCGCCGGGACAATCTGATGTAGGACAATTGTCCACCAGCGCTGACACGTGCCTGCAGCTGAGCGTTGGCTGCCGCCTGGAGCAGATGCCAGCAAGCCAATGCCAGCACACAGCAGCACGGGTTTGCAGAAGCGTCTGTGCATAGGCTGAGACGGCCAACCACCTTCTGCCCAGCACTTCATTGTGTGCATCACCTACCACCTGGGGACTTCCCCACAGGACGCCACCCCATCGACAGCGCTTGGAAAACAAAATCAAAAAATCCGATGCTGATCCCATGTTCCAAACACCAGCTGTAATCAATCCAGTTCAGAACTTCGTCAGGATTGGAAACTTACTTTCACAGACGCTCGCCCTGCCAGCCTGTGCTCTCCACGCATTCTCTGCTGTCTCTGGCTCCAGCTGCCCCGCCTTCCCTGGCTCTGGCAGGAATGGGCTGGGCTGGGCTGGGTGCAACACACATCTGCCTGCCTCCCACAACCACTCAAACTTCTTCCTAAGTTCCCAACGAGGCCCACCCCTCTCTCCCGGGGAGCAGGTGGGGAAGCGGGGAGCCTGTGGGGCGTGTGCACTGGACATTGGAAACGAAGGGTCTGTGACAGCAGCTGCCTGAACCCCTTTGTCTTAAACCAGTGTCACCTGGAGATTGATACAGTGGGCGCTGCGGTTCCCACTCCTTGCCAAGACTCCTACAAGGGTTAGGAACAACAGGCCCAAGGGAAAAGGACATGTCTACTGACCATCCATCCTCGGCTCTGAGAGCTCGTTAGCTACACGCTCCGGGCCAGGCTGAGACATGTCACGAGTGAGGAGGTGGCAAGATAGCCCTCTGGGATAGCCCTCCACTCTCGCTTCCTCTGTGGGTTACCTGCCACCCCTCAGCTCCCCTGGGAGACACCCAGAGTGAGCCTTCCAGTAAGTACTGGGCCAGGGAGTACCCTGCTTGCCCCAGGTTGCTATTCAGCCCTTCCCAGGACCTGGGTGGCTCAGCTGCAGCTGCAACTCGCATGTTAGTAGCTGCAGGGGTTTTGTTTGGCTCGCCGCCCCAGGAGAGGAAGAGGAGCTACCCATTTGGGCCGATCTGTGTGAGCCAACAGGAAAGGGTTTCTTCTGTTTAGAAATCTTCTATATAACACCCACCACACTGAGTCGATTCCAATGCGTGGCAGCCCCACACCTTCCAGGGCAGGCCTGTGCCCCAGGGGTTTGCGGCAGCTGGCCATCCGGGAATAGACTCCCAGGCCTTGCTTCTGGGGGGACTCGAGCCTCCATTCTCAGCCAAGCACTTGGCCATTTGAGCCGCCCAGGGGCACCTAATACAGACACATAGCCATGGAATTCCCGAGTCACGGTCTGGTCTTCAGTGAATCACTTACGTGTTCAAAATACTTTGGGGCTAAAAAGCATATACAGATCATATTAAAATATTCTCAACGCTTCTCCAGAAAATATAAAAGAGGATACCTCAGAACTTCTCTCAGGATCTTCATTTCTTCCTGTTCAAGGTCACTAACAACATCAGAGCCATCAGTTAGACAGTCGGGCAGGACACCTGTTCAAACCCAAAGATCCCACAGAAGAACATCAATCCACAGCAGACATTCTGATCATCCGGAAAGAGACAGCACTGAGACCAACCATTCAATTGTTGGCTCCAGCTCTTAAACATATTTTTGTCTTAGACTCATTCCCACAACAAAACCATCCATTCTACCTAGACATGTCTCTAATTACCCAATTGTCATATATCAAGTAGCCATGATCACCTATGGCATGATAAATTAGGTAAGACAAACTACTGCTTCTCATAACCACAGAGCTGCTGCCGCTGCCCAGAAATGCAACTGAGCTGACATGAAGCGAGGCTCTCAAGGGACTCTCTGGACAGAGAACCAGTGTTTGAGCTGCAGCTGCTCCGAAAGAGGGCTTACAGCCTACAAAGAAAGCATGGTGTTGGGCTTCTGGGAGACAGGACCGTAAGTAAAATCCCTGTCCCTCTAAGGTTCAGTGATCAACTCAATAATGACCAGCGAGGGAAGTGACAACCTCAGACCAGTTTAATTGACTTTACCTCCCTGATGAGCAGATGGATCAGTAATCCGTGCTCTGCTCCAATCAGTCCTTCTTACATTGCCACAGCACTGGCAGCAGGTCTTTCTCCCGCCACTGTACGGCTGGGAGTTTAGATCTGCTCCAAATTAAAGGGGCTTTATTAGGGTAATCCCCTGGATACTTAAATGCATTTTGTAATTATACTTTTTGAGGTAACAGATTCAGATGGGGTTGTAAAAAAATAATTGAGAGATTCTGTATACCCCTCATCCAGTTCCCCCCAATGGTAACATCCTGCAAAACGCCAGCACATCATAACGGCCAGGAAACATTATTAAATTCCACTCATCTTAAATGCGTTCTTGCTCAGTCCAAAAGTTATAAAATTACTATTTTCCTACTAGCCTTTCTAGGGAAATTAAAGGTACTCATTTAAATTATAAAATGTATATCAAGGATTTCATCTCACCGGGATGAAAGAGCAACCCAAAAGCGATGAAATCTTTCAAAGCCATCAAAGCATCCGCCCACAATTCTTTGGTAAGACTCGACATCCGAGGCCCCAGAGCGACTCGGAGCTTTCTTACCACCGAGCTAAGGGGCAAATAGCCTGCAATGTGAGGTCAACGACGCTGTAAGGCACTCTCCCTGAGTCTAACAAGCAGCGTTCTTAAATATAAACATTAATAACAGGCCAAAATTAATGGTTAGCTTACATTGTAATGTACGTAACCTGTCCCTCTCTGTGGTCTGACAACAGCCATTACCCATGACTCCCTTGCCAGATTCTTTGCCGTTATCAGGCAGCGTGATGCTTACGAGATGCATCCCTGAACCCTGGAGTGACCTAAGACTGGTTTAAAGTAAGCCTCACGGCCCATTCCCCTGCCAGGTAGCTTCGGGAGGATGTGCGGCCCTCATCCTGATCCTGACGAGTAGTGCCCGGGTTGGCTGGGGTCGTCTAGAGAAACAAAACCAGTGACACTCAGAGGAAAGGGCTTGATATCAAGGAATTCAAGAAGGGAGAGAATATTTTGAAACTGACTATGATAGCAACTGTACAATGCCGCCTGATGTGATTGAACTATGGACAATATGATATCTGTATTAGCTCCCAATACAATAGTGGGGGGTGGAGAAGTAATTTTCTATCGGGATGGCTTTCCAATCTGGTCAACTCCAGCCCAGGGGCCTGATGCTTGGCACAGCCCTCTTGAGACTCGGGAGCTGAAGGCAGATGGCACAGAGAGCCGGCGCCTCTGGAAGCAGGGAGCCCACAGGCTGGTGGGCGCAGTCAGTGACCCTCACAGTCAGCGAGGAGGAAGACAGCAAGAGAAGTCCCCAGTCTCTCTTTTAACCGGCCACACCCCCAAGGACGCACCGTCAGGCTGTGACCTGATTGACAGGTTGGACTCCACCCTACACATTCACACGGACGCAAGTTGACATAAAATCTAAAGCCACAGAGAGCTGAAGGGAAAACTCAGGGAGGCGCTATGAAAGTGTTACCTTGCAAACCATAAGAGATGTACAAGAGGCCACACCCCTTTTCTTCATGCGGCACTGCTGAGATGCAGCCAGAGTACAGAGTACAGTCATGCGAGAAGATGCTGAGAACCACAGGAAGTGTGACGATCCTTGATAACATCACCCAGCCACTAGCTCAATCAAGCCTGGACCCGGCAAGCCAAACCTTCGTGATATAAATGTTACTTCCTTCCCTCCCTCCTCAGGACTTCCTGCTCGGTGTGATAATAATCTAATGCTTATACAATTTTTACTGGGCTCTGTTACTGGCAGCTTGAAGCTGGGACGGGCTGTGTGCATTTGTCCATCTAAAGGAGTGCTCCAGCTGAGTTCCAAGGTGTCAGTGCCACCTTCACCGTGTCATCAAAGTTGAACTGCTGGAAAGAAATTGTGTCAAACTCTTTCTCTCACAGGAAAGAGAAGAAAGGGTCGCATAGTCAAGCCACGGGATACAGACAGACGAATGACAGTCACGAAATCACATGATGTGTTGCATGGGAGAACTCTGCTACACGAGTCCTCCATAAAGGATTGAAGAGCAGGGGAGCCCTTTGAAGATGAACGTATGCCTGTCTCAGATCACGGTGTTCTCACGGGCCTCGTATACATGTGTCTGTGGTACCTTCGGTTTTCTTCACCAGCACACCAAGTCAGTGCATCTGTGCGTCTCCAATCTCTCCTTGCCCAACTTTCACTTTATATGAGGTTTGCGTCAGGTGCACCTTAGTCCTCCAAGTAGCATCCCCTTTCTTGGAAGAAGTACAGCCAGGATGCTCCTGAGAAGCAGAGATGGTGAGACTTCCATGTGCTCTGGACCAGTCCCTGGAGAAGGACATCATGCTTGGTACAGTAGAGGGGCAGCAGACAGGGGAAGCCTCTTGGCAAGAGGGAGGGACACGGCGGCTGCAGCACTGAGCCCCACCGTGGGGACAGCTGTGAGGGTGGGGGCTTTCACAAGGTTGCCTGAGGTGGAACGCCTTGGCGGTGCCTCACAAGAGCAAGGCACATGTAAAGATTGAACACGGAGCAGGGAGCAGGGGAGACAAATCAATGCAAAAGAATGCCAGGAGAACAAACAGATCGGTTTGGGGAAAGTGCAGCCAGAGTGCCCCTGGGAAGTAGAGGGAGAGATTTCATGCCACATGCGTTGGACACGTTGTCAGGAGAGACCAGTCCCTGGAGAAGGACGTGATGTTTGGGAAAATGGAGCGACAGCGAAAAAGAGGGCGGCCCTCAGAGATGGACCAACACAGCAGCTGCAACGGGGGGGTGGGGGTGGGGGGTTCGAGGGAGATGACAGCTGTGTGGCTGGCGCACAGCACGGCGGGGCAGGAGTCCCCCTGTGGTGTGCAGGGCCGCTGTGCCGGGAAGAAACCGGTGTGTGGCCCCCCAACCCCCACAGCCGAGCAGCAGCGTGCTGCGTGTTCTTTAGGGCTAATGTTGGCTCTCCCCACGACCAACTGTTCTTTGTCTGCTGTGGAAGGTTCTGGGCTTCTGGAGGGATGCTATGCTGTTGCTTGGTGTGAAGGGGTAGAGTTATTGATCGCATCAGAAAAATGGGAGCGGCATCTACAGCAAGCACCACCACCACCACCCCACCCACAACACTAGCGTTTGCCTTGCCACCACAGAAGCCCTGCTGTCACACGTGCCAGACCTCGAAGAGCACAGAGCACCACTGCAGTGTAGCTCCCAGAGCTGCCCGCGCCGACTGAAGGGAAGGTCTTGCTGCCAAACCATTAGTCAGGTTCCCTCGTAGCAAGCCGTAGCCGTGGCAATCTCCAGAGGGGGGAACCGCGGTCGAGTCAGCAGACAAGCCTCAGAGTGGAGACTCCCACTTGAAGGTGAGGTGGTCCCATCGTCAGCAGCGTGGTTAGAGAGGCAGGCACAGTGGAGGGAGAGCCGCAACACCCTGCACACTGGGAGGCATCCGAGCCCGGGAAGGGATCGGGAGGGAGGTGACTGGGAACGTGGATTCAGCTTTCCCCCCAACTGCTGCATCAGTTCACTGCCTTCTAACAGTGCTTCTCAGGAGGGCGCCAAGACCTGCAGCTTCAGCACCACCTGGGACTTTGACAAAAATGTACATTAGCAGGGTCTCAGCGCAGGTACACTGAATGGAGAACGGGCGGGAGCAGTGGGCGTTTCCACGGGCTCACCCTCCGGTAAGCGCCCTTCCTTTGCACAGAAACTGAGTGTGGCCAGGCCCTCTCAAAATTGCTGCATCTCACCGACAATCAGGCTCTCCCAAGCCTACAACACTGCCCACTCCAGTGCAAGTCTGCATTCCTTCCCATGTCAAATACACGCTGATCCCTCAGCTGTTACTCTAGCCTCGTGAGCCAGCCAGAGACTTTCAACCTTAAAATAAAATGACCCCAGGCAGCCACAAGTAACACTGGATTCCGATGAGTATAGACCAAAATATGCAAAACACGCAGTTAGCACTTAATTTTCTAACTTGAACATTTTACCGTTTCTCTCTTGAATGATCCGGATGGCTTGCAGCTGCATTTCAATGTTTTTCTGGACCATCATTGCTTTAAAGATGGTGAAATCCTCCGCGGCCAGCACGGGCTGCAGGATGGCCTGGGAAGGAAAGCCGTCAGTCAGATGAAGAGTCAGTTCTACAAACAAGCTGCAGCCAGGGCTGTCATGTGCGGTGCAGGGCTGCTGCTTATTACTCATGATCAGATGGCTCAAAACATTTGCTCTGTTGACTGAGCGAAGGGGCCAGATAGGCTAGCTGGCTCTCTATGAGCTGACTGCTCTCCTGGAGGGTCCTCAGCTCACTCGTGGAGGAGATTAAGAGGAATCCCGTAGCACGCTGCTCAGCGACATGTCACGTTACTCCATCAAGTGGACAACTGGCCTTTTTGTAAACGCAGAGTCTTACCAGGATAGCGATGAGCAGAAGCCCCAAGAAGTTCAAATAGTGTAGGAAGTAAAACCACAAGTGATACGTGGAATGTATACACACATGCTCAAGACATGTGACCTAAGAATGTTCTGTATTTATTCTCTTAATCTACAGGGGAAAACTGATTAAATGATGAGTCCAATGAATTTGCTGATATCCCTAATCTATGCAGCACAATGATCAAAAGTGGTTAAGAATGTGGACTCTGGAGCTACAAAGCCAGGGTTCCAATTCCAACAATGCTAAAGAACAGCTACAAGCCGCCTAAACCCTCCATGCCTCGCTTGCCTCTTAGTAGGATGCTGGCAATAACACACTTACCTGATGGCTTAGGGTGAGGATAGAAAGAATTTTGACTATGGTGTGATGAAGGGTGTCTGACAAAGAATTCTACAAGCACTGACCACTGAAATAAAGAAAGCCCGGGAATGTCTAAGTTCTGTCCGTGTCTTCATTACTGACCGGGCATTGCTGTGTCCCGAGGCAAAGATGGTATTCCATGTTTGAGAAGAAACAGATTCATGTTAACACATCTCCATCAAAATTAAAACTAAGACTTTTCAACACCTAGTAGAAGGGTGAGTAAAGAAGGGTGTGTGTTACTGCTCAGGGTGGGAGTGCTAGCTGTGCGTTTTAGTGGCTTATTGCTAAGTAGACACCCGGGTAGCTGGAGGATGCTCCAGAATAGCATGGCAGTTTGCATCAGCCCTGTATGCGCATCGCAATTTTGAGTTCAGAGAGTTTCTTTTCAATACTGAAAGCACCATGGCCTGCCAGAAGAGCAAACAAATCTGTTTTGGAGGCGAGATTTCAACTCGATGTACCTTAGACATGTTACCAGAAGGAACCAGTCCTGGGATTGTGAGGACGGCACAGGACTGGGGAGTGTTTCAGTCTCTTCTGCGTAGTGTTGGTATGAGCCACGGCTGACAACACACACACACACACACACACACACACACACACACACGCCAGTCCATCAATGCATCAGATTATCATTCCTCAACGTGGTTCAAAAATGAATCCACATGGGGTGAATTATTCCTCCCACAATGGCTAAAAGATTCTACTTGGACTGTCCACATCCCTGAGTGCTAAGCATGTGGATGAAAAACATACAAAGTTAAGTGAAACTGGGTATTTCTGTCAAAACTACAGTATGTTAGCAGAATTACCTGTGATGTCCGAGTCTTTGCAAGAGGAGAAGTACATGCTTCCTGGAATTGGTCCTCATTAATTCCAATCTCTTTGAGATAACTTTCTAACAGTTTCTCAACCTACGAAGAGAAAGTTTACCTTATAGATTCATACACAAAAATTGCAGATGTCAGCTTCACACTACAGATCTAGTTTAAGCCCCAAAGCCCATTGTCATCGAGTCCATTCGGGCTCTGTCAGCCCTTCAGGACAGAGTGGGGCTGTCCTGCTTCCAAGGCTACCAGTCTTCAGGGAAGCAGACTGCAAAGTCTTCATCCCTTGGTGTCGATGAGCCTTTGAACCTTTTCCCTTAACAGCCGTGTGCTGTAACCTCTGTGCCACCAAGGCTGTGTGGATCTTGCTTAGGAAAGTGCAATCAAATGCTTGTTTGCAATTTCTAATCAGTGTATTATAGTACATGGCGATGACACTGTCTCACAGAAAAACAACCAAAAGTTAAAATACTGTATAGATAATTAAAAAGAATTTCGTAGTTTTATTTCCTTTTCTGGAAACATGAGTGAGAATTTTAAAGGTCAATATGACAAGACTAGTTAGCTATCCTCAGGCACTTTTAGAAAGCACAACACAACCAGGACTAAATGAATACCATTTAACCTTGATTCCCTTGATACAGCCACAAAAGTATAAGAATAAAATGCAAAGTTTAAGTACAAGATCCTTTAAAATCATTGTCAAAAAAAATTTCTTACTAAAGTGATATCTGTTTGCTGTGTCTATTCTCAACAATAAGATAGTAAATAATTTTTAAACAATGAAGTCCTTAAATTCTACAGTAGAAGAAAGAGGCTGTAAGACTTGGATGCACAAAATACCATCAGAAGCGTATGTTAACTGGGGGTATTGTTATGGTATATTTAATTTTTGTAAAGTTAAATACTTTCAATGGAAAAGTCCCTTTTTATTTAAAAAAGCTAAAATAGTGTTATTCTAATCAATGAAAGAAAAAAATACTTACCAGTTCTTTGTATTCCCGATGAATCTCTGTATAAGTCAGTTTGCTTTCTTCTTCATCATCAAAAACTAAATTTAAAAGAAAAATAGTGCACTATGTTAAAAAAATCATTTTACCAATGCAAATATAAAAGTCTACAGACAGAACTAATATTCTTACAGCTCAATCCTTGATCTTTGAGTTCTTGGGGTTTTCCTAAGACCCTTAGATTGAATGGGGCCTCTGAAACGATGACACTGCCACCAGGTGGACCCACTCATAGTGCCTCTTGGGGTTCAGACTAAGGTGGCCAGATTGTAACATTGGTAAAGCAGACACCATTGATAAAACTCAGATCCTGGCGAAATAGCCACATGGCGGCCGAAAACCGTATACCCTAGCTTGTCGTGCATTCTTTCCAAAAATCGGGACTGTCCTGCCAAAAGCGGGACGTCTGGTCACCTTAGTTTAGGATGAAAGATGAAATAACTGGGAATAAACCTGAGCACAGAAACCACAGACCTATACAAAGAAAACTGACTATCTGAACATTATTACAAGAAATCAAGAGACCTTGACACAGATTGAAGATTCTATATATATAATATATACATACACACATACATGTTTTTTTAGGAAGACTTAATTAATATTGTGAAGCTGTCAATACTACCTAAAGTGATCTCCAAATACAACGCAATTCTAATCCCAATCCCAACTTCAATCTTTAGAGAAATGGAAAAAAATAACTACCAACCTCATATGGAGAAAGAAGAGGCCCAGGATAAACAAAGAACTTCTCAAAAAGAAGTAGGAGGCCCTGCACTATCCAACATCAAATCCCATTACAGAGCTACAGTGGTCAAAACATCCTGGGGGGACTGGTACAATGAGAGATACAGAGAACAACAGAACAGGGCGGAAAACTCAGAAATAAAAGCATCCACCTACAGGCAACTGATTTTCAGGCAAATGACCCAATACATTAAATGGGAAAGGGACAAATCGTGCTGGAAAAATTGAATCTCCATCTGCAGTAGAATGAACCAGAACTCATAGCTCACCGCATGCATAAAAACAAACTCAAGATAGATTAGAAGTCTGAATATTAATCCCAGAGTTATAGATCAGGGCCATCAATAAGAAAATGGGGCCGCACTTAAGGACGTACAGGCGGCCAATGAGATGCAGCGAGCACGCCCAGGGGAGAGAAAACAGATGGCACCTGTTAAAATGAAAACTTTGTCCAAAGATTCAAACAAAAGCCCAGGGATTGGGGGAAAATCTTCAGCGATTATACAATGGACAAAGAACTAATTACTGAAATCTATAGAATTCTGCAACACCTCAATTAGGAAAAACAATCCAATTAAAAGGTGTGCAAAGGACATGGATGGACAATTCATAAGGGACGACACTCGAACGGCTAACATGCGGAAGTGATCGCAGTCTCAAGCCAGTCTGTAGTTGTATCATTTACTTTTCTCAATAATGATTGAAAAGCTATACCATTGGCTAACTTAATGACACTACAAAGAGAATTACCTTTTACCCAGGAGGATGCTCTCTAGTGTTTTCTATCGTACAATGAGAGATGTCCCTACAGTGAAGCAGAGCTATATATAGACCATCACTACATGAATGGATTTGGGGCTTGCAGCCTTCTAAGTGAGGTGTTAACTGAGTCCACATGGAAGAAGCTACACCAGCCTGTGTGATCCAAGGACTGTAAATAATGTAATCCAAATACAAAGGGGGGAATGGTATCAGAGCTTAAATTCTAAAGCCTTGTTTTGCAGAAGGCTAGAGATGACAGTGGAAACCCAAAGTCCATTTGAAGGGTCTCCTGGATTAAGCCTCTGATGAATCCCTCTGACCATATTCCAGAGAAATGAAGAGTCTCACGATCAGACAGAGAATTGTACAGTTCACTATGGTGGATGTCGTGAGGTTCAAATGTAATATCTTGTCCTTTGGTCGCCCTTTTGACCTACTTCAAAATTGTTTCTGTTTTTAATGTTTTCTGATTTCTTTCTATTGAGGTTTTTTCTATATTTTGTCGGGTGTGTGTGTGTGTTTAATTCACTTCCTGTGTGGTAAACTGAGGGACTGGATGAGAATGTCGTTCAGCTAAATCCTCTATACTCATAATTAATAATTACGGATCTGGAAAGCTGACTCTGGGCGGGGAAAACCCTCATGATGGTGAGATACAAATAAATCTTAATATATAGTCTCATGATTAAACACAGTCCCTCCAATAACCCGCCCCCCATCAAGGCACTGTCAGAGGAGCTACCGTATGAGAGGAAGCACTCGTGCTGCCCGTGCCTGGAGGGTACCTGTAGATAAGCACGCTCAGGGGCTAGAGGCGAGCCCACCCTAGCATGCAGCACACCCTGGAGAGGGCTCAGATGCTAGAAGCGAGCCCACCCTAACATGCGGCACACCCTGGAGAGGGCTCAGGGGCTAGCACTAGGTCGAGATGCAGAGTTATTCCGTTGTCTGTTTACTTTGTTACCCGTGTATGATATTACCCATTAATTAGGCAATGCACTGGCTGTATGACAGGTGTGCCTTTTTAAAGACCTGTAAGCCCATTATATATACCCACTGGAAAATGCACTCACTCACTTAGTCCTGGCCTCGGGACACGGAGCCCAGGCCCCGCTTTGTCTGCCTGTATCTATTAGTTTCCACAACCGCAAAGTCGCCCCTGAGGACCTGTTAGTGTGCTGGGGACCCCCATACCCCAACATTCCTGTTGGTGTTTTATATGATCTTCTGTGTATAAAATCCAGGCTACGTAAATCTATGGAGATAGCAATTGGGTGAATAATTACCTAGAGGCATGGCAGGGTCGGTGCTGGGGAAGTGGGGAGCCAACAACGAGAACAGAGAAAAGAAGCGTTCTACAGTTGAATGTGAGGATGACTGTGCAACGCTTCATAATACGACCAATTAAACGGTGTGCCGCGCGCCCATGTGACGGGAAAGCGGCCTCAAAGGAAATGGTGCCTAAACACAATTGTTGTGATAATATTAAGTACACAGAATCACACCGGTCCAAAACTGATGTTCTTTTTAAATGCTCTTTCCCATGGGCTCATACAAGGACATCATTATATTTTAGAAGTGTGCAAGTACTTTTCAGACAATACTTCATAGATTATAAATTGCTGTTCATAAAAAAATTTAAAAATTTTAAATTGCTGTTCGTAATAGGATTTAGCATTGACCTTTAATAAGGCGCCCAGAGAAATGAATCTTCATAGATCAAAGCTTGCACCTTCTGCTTCAGAGAAGAGTCCCAATAGATCAACATCAGCGACGATTTTTTTTGCAGTTTCCCCAATGACTCTTTAGGCTGAGTACCAAGGTATACTCCTTCCTGATCCTTGAATTTCCAGCAGGAAATTCCATTCTGTTCTTTAATCTTATACTGTATATTTCCTACAAACCTAAAACACTTGAAATTTTAGAAAAATTTAAATCAAGCAAACCAAAAAACTCTTCCCCTAAAAAGCTCCAAAATTCCTTAAAAAAAAAAACATTATGTACTGATAAAATCTAATTGTTGTGTAAAATTCAAAATTCAAATCCAGCACTTTATTATTTTATTCTAACCTACAACAGAAAAAAAATTGCTGTATTGATTGTAAATTTTTTCCTCCAACTTAAATATATGATACCGAAACAAACACAAATTTACTATTTACTTAACCAAATAGTATAAGGCAGCAATTCCTTTGTAAACATGTAATGAAACATTACTGTTGATAGATCTTCAATATTAAATCCTTTTGCAAGAAGCTCCAAGCGTATTTTATAGTACTGACATTTTGCTGATGGCAAATATTTCTGAGCGTGCCTCGTTCAACAGTGAGATTACAATAAATGAAGCCAGAGCACTTGTCTACCAATGACCACGTGACCAAGGTGGCGCCCACGATTAGAAAGTTTCCTTCCCCTCAAGAAGGAACACTCTAATTACGGGAATGGGGCCAAGCCACGGACTGCCAACAATAAACTTTAATTCCCCCAGAATGTTATTTCTAAACGCAAAACAAATTTGGCATAAAACTCTTCAAAGCCTGCCCATTGTCTAGAGATGAAGAGCAAGACCCTTAGAAGGCCACAGAAGCCCCTCCAAGCCTGGGGCCCAAGTGCTCCAGCCCCCCACGCTCCAGCCAGTTCCCTCCACCTTTCAACACCTCCCTCCCCCTTCCCCTGCCAACCACTCTTAAAGACGCTGGAAAGTGGTACCTTCTTCCGTGAGCCTCTAGGCATTGAGTACCTTTGCTTGAGTTCGTAACACACAGCCATGATTCTTCCTGTATTCTCTCCTACTACCTAGTCCATTCCAACCCATCACACAGCTCGGTAGTACACAGCCCCCTAGGGTCTCCAGGCTGTCCATCTTTACAGAAGCTGAGATCCACATTGCCAACTCTGCAGTTAGCAGTCCAACCTGTAGGGCGGCTCCTACCTTTATTTGCACCTACCATTTTATACTTAAATTCTGTTTACCTGCCTATCTTCCCACCCTAGACTGTGACCTTCAACAGCACAAAGACCAGCCTTCACCACCCTGCAGACTCCCATGTCGTACACATTCTGTGTTTGCTGAAGTAAGTGTTGATGTAACAAAGTTACAGGAAACTAATCTTCAATAAATCATCTGAGATAGAGAAGAGCAGGGTGACATCCCAGAGTCAGGGAAGGATAAAAAGTGCTAATCCCAAGTGCCACCAGCCTCTCCGTAGAAGCACCAGCTACAACAGACCCATGACTTAAACAATGTTCAGTTACATCACATGCTTATATGGCCAAGGATCACTGCTTCCCTGTGGAATTATAAAATTAATCAGATGTGTTATGACTGAGATGTAGCTACTTCAGATATTTGCTTATTTAGGAACAAAAAGAACAATGCATCCCCATCACCTTGGGGCTCTTACTAGGATCTTCCTTCTAGCCCACTGCCTGTGAGCTGACTCTGACTCAGCAAGGCTGTAGGGCAGAGTAGAACAACTGCTGCTTGTATTTACAGGAGTGGCTGTCAAGTTCAAATGGTTGACCTTGTAGTGGTAACTCAACAATTAACTCAAAGTACCACCAAGGCTTGTAATAGCAATTTAAATTCTTAAAAGGAGTACAGATAGAAATGGTTTTGTTTTTTAATTTCTTAAAAATACTTATAAAGACTCAAACAACCATTTCGATGGGAATGAGAAGGGTCAGAATGGAGACCCAACCCTATCTGTAAACAGTTGAACATCCCCTCACAGAAGGGTCACAAGGAAGGGACGAGCCAACCAGGGTGCAATATAACCCCAACGAAACACACAACATTCCTCTAGTTCAGCGGTTCCCAACCTGTGGGTCTCAACCCCTTTGGGGGTCAAATGACCCTTTCACAGGGTTGCCCGATTCATAACAGTAGCAAAATTACAGTTATGAAGTAGCAACGAAAATAATTTTCTGGTTGGGGGGTCACCACTGCATGAGGACCTGTATGAAAGGGTCCCAGCATGAGGAAGGTCACGAACTACTGTTCTAGTTCTGTAATGCTTCCTCCCTCCTCCCCCGCCCCATTTCTATCTTACAAATCCAGCTAGACCAGAGAATAGACACTGGTACAGATAAGAGCTCTTGACACACGGGATCCAGGACAGATAACCTCCTCAGGACCAATAATGAGAGTAGCAATACCACAAGGGTAGGGGGAAGGTGGCGGGGAGAAAGGGGGAACCGTTCACAATGATCGATGTATAACACACATACCCCCAGGGGGACAAACAACAGAAACACGGGTGAAGGGAGCTAGCGGACAATGTAGGATATGAAAATAATTTATAATGTATCAAGGGTCTGTGAGGGTGGGAGGATAGGGGAGGGAAGTAAAAGGAGCTGATACCAAGGGCTCCAGTAGAAAGAAAATGTTTCGGAAATGATGGATGGCAGCATATGTACAAAGGTGCTTGATACAATCGATGTATGGATTGTTATAAGAGTTGTAGGAGCCCCCAATGAAATGATTTAGTTTTTTAAATGTTTTTAACTTATAAATTTTAGGAAGATCCTCCTTTCACCTTGAATCCCAAACAGATACTCACGCATCACAGGGTTACTTGAGTATCTATCTGGTTATAACTAAGATTCTGGTAACATTGTATCAGGGAGCACTGGTGTCAAACTGGGTGGCACACTGAGGTACTAATCCCAAAATCGATGGGGAATGGGGCCCACACTAGTCCCTCTGCAAGGGCAAGATGCCACCGTCTGCTCCCTAAAGATTTAAAGGTCCAGGAAACCCTTCTGCTCTGTCCCATGGGGGTCCCTGAGGTGGAATGAACGTGATGGCAGGAAATCTTTCTCTGGTTCCACCCCTTCCACTAGCAGTGAGCTACTTGTGGGTAGGGCTGTATTGCATCTCCAAATCTAAGCAGGGGTGAGGGGATGAGAAATTGTATGCATTACACAAACACCTGCTCCATGACGACTCCAAGAGCAAATGGCCATGTCTACCCTTCAAATACTTACAACGATTTATTAGGTATTCCTGCAATGCCGATGTGGCCCTGAGATTGCAAAGAAGACTGTGCCCAATGAAACATTACTGTTGATAGATCTTCAATATTA